TGTTCTGATCCCATAGTTGGGATATTTTACGTGCCCTTTACTCATTTTCTTGGGAAGTGCAATTTTTGATTGGTTGGTTTGTTTGTTGTTTAACGCCGCACATGAAAACAGCAGCACACTTCTTCTATATCTTGATTGGTTTGGCTAGGTTGGCACTCGGCAATATTCCAGCTATATGACGGCGGTCTGTAAATAATCGAGTCTGGACTAGATAATGCAGTGACTAATATCATGAGCATCGATCCACGCACTTGGGATCGATGACATGCTTCAACCAAGTCAGCGAGCCTGACCATCCGATCCCCTTAGTCGCCTTTTACGGCAAGCATGGGTTGCTGAAGACCTATTCTACCCCGGATCTTCACGGGTCCATATTAGAGATATTGACAAGGGTGCTTCTTTAGAGCATGATTCACTAATTATTGTTTGTTTGTTGTTTAACGCCGCAGCTATATGACGGCAGTCTGAAAATAATCGTGTCTGGACCAGATAATCCAGTGATTGACATCATGAGCATCGATCCACGCAATTGGGATCGATTGCATGCATCAACCAAGTCAGCGAGCATGGTGTATTGTCATATAATTCATTGCCATTCTCTGCTCTTTCTCAGAACATTAATATATGTTAGAATATTCTCCCCTGGTCATTCCCACCAACTTGGTCTTTCTTCTCGTTGTTGAAGATATCAAGATGAGCTCTTTTCCAGTTATACAGTCCTACCAGGCAAGCAAGATGATACTTTAACTTCTGTACAACATCTTCACCAATTAGTATTACGGAAAGTGTTCCAAACGGATTCAGAGGTACATGCTGCGATTGAGGTCCGTGGTCATGGCCTTTCTAAAGGCAGATAGTGATGCAACGTTCTGACATACGAAGCATTTAGGTGAAGTACTTCTTGGTACGTTGCTGTGATTGAGTTCAGTGGTCATGGCCTTTCTAAAGGCGGATAGTGATGCAACGTTCTGACATACATTTAGATGGTTTAGGTGAAGTACTTCTTGGTACGTTGCTGTGATTGAGTTCCGTGGTAATGGTGTTTCTAAAGGCAGATAGTGATGCAACGTTCTGACATACAAAGCATTTAGGTGAAGTACTTCTTGGTACGTTGCTGTGATTGAGTTCAGTGGTCATGGCCTTTCTAAAGGCGGATAGTGATGCAACGTTCTGACATACATTTAGATGGTTTAGGTGAAGTACTTCTTGGTACGTTGCTGTGATTGAGTTCCGTGGTCATGGCCTTTCTAAAGGCAGATAGTGATGCAACGTTCTGACAAACGAAACATTCAGATGGTTTATGTGAGTTACTTCATACCGGAAGGTTGCTCTTCCCATGCTCTTTGCAGTTTGGTTATAATAGTAATTAAGCGTGCAGCTTCCATGATATCCTTTTGCCATTTTTGGTTCCAATGTGTCTTCCATACTACCACCGTCATCTGGTCTGGTTGGATGAGAATTTTATTGGTAGTTGCTTGGTCTTGTGCTGTTGACAATGACATCATTTGCGCCAGTCAGATGCCATTTTAAAAGGTTGAGATGAGAGGCCGATTGGTTACCATTTTACCACCTTTCGCCGAATACACTTTCAAGTATTGGATACTACTAGGTTCAAGCAACTACTCTACACCTAGCCCAATCGAACCGCCGTCATATAGCTGGAATATTGCTGAGTGTAGTGTCAAACAACAAACCAACCAACAACCAACCCACTCCTTCTGTACAACATCCTCAAGACTTAAGCCTTGTCATCCTTGGCAATGCTCACCCGCGCTGGTGCATCCTGTCAATGCAGGTGCGGGTTGGTTGGTTTGTTGATTTGTTTGTTGTTTAACGCCACACTCGTTTCAGCTATATGACGGCGGTCTGTAAATAATAGAGTCTGGACCAGACAATCCAGTGACTATCGATCCACGCAATTGGGATCGATGACATGCAGCAACCTAGTCAGCGAGCCTGACCACCCGATCCCCGTTAGTCGACTCTTACGACAAGGCGATTTGTTTTGAGGGCCCACAGGTCTGAGGGCAAGCTGGTCCAGTCCACTGGACCCAGGCGCTGACAAGGCCGTCAACTGAAGACAATTTAAGAATGAAGTTCATAATGTTAATGTTGTCATGGAAGAAATGCGCGTTACATTACATCGTTTAAATAATATCTTCTGTTTAGATACATTTATTTGTTTGTTTGTTTAAAGCCTTCATCAGCAATATTCCAGCTATTATAATATAAGACAGTGGTCTGTAAATAATGGAGTCTGGACCAGGCAATCCTGTGACTGACATCCTGACATCATGAGCATCGATCCACGCAAATGGGACCGATGACATGCATCAACCAAGTCAGCGAGCCTGACCACCCGATCGACTCTTACGACAAGCAAAGTCGCCTTTTACGGCAAGCATGGATTGCTGAAGACCTTTTGTACTTAAGCAGCAGCTCTTACGATGCGTGTTAACATTTCAAAATACACCCTCAGAATTGTGAATACAGTATAACTGTTTTTATGAATGGAAAATAGTTTCGCGAGTCACTCTTTGCTTTGGACCAAACAGCTACGCTACTTCCTTATTGAAATCAAGAATAGAGTACAGTTATCAAATGACAACATAAATGCCTCATTTTCAGATTATCATGGTGATTCTGGTGTGAAATAGGCCCCCAGCAATGTGCTGGTCGTTATAGGATCGTTGTGTGGTTGACTGCGTGTCTTCTTACCCCAAACGCGTCTATCAATCAATTGATTGTCTGATCCAGCCTCAGTGAATCATAAGGCAAAACAGTATGTACTTTTGAGTGTATTTGAAGAAATGGATTAACTTAAAGCCCAAAATACACTGAAAAAGTTTCAATGAAATAAATATCATATGGCACCAACTGGCATGTTTCACTTTGGATATAATGACATGCTCTTTCCGGTGTAACCTGCCAGACGGAATGTTGATGCTTTGGAGGAAGTAAATGAAAACTCATCGGTTTCATGTCAAGTCAAAAGAAGTTTTAATAGTACGCAACCCCTCTCCATATTAGGAAGCAAATGTCAGATTATGTGATAAGCGGTTACCGTCATGTTAAAGATAATTGCACGAATTTAGAGACGTGCATGAATGCATGTGTGTGTGTGTGTGTGTGTGTGTGTGTGTGTGTGTGTGTGTGTGCCTCCGGACAGAGGCTCCATGTACTACACCACGGAGGCTGTCACTTTAAAACACATAACAAACCTATGCAACAATGTGCAAAACTATTTTAATCACAAATGTGGCAACACTATAGGTTGACATGTCAAGGCGAAGTACACATACAGTATTTCACTAAATGAGAAATTATCCCATGGCTCCACTTTACAAAACCATTGAGCTCGTCGAAGTATATATACAGTATTTCACTCCATGAGAAATTATCAAATGGCTAAACATTACAAAATATTGAGCGCGTCAAAAGGTCAAAGGTTGCAGTCAACTGAAACACAAGTTTAAGAATGTTAATTCAAAATTAAAACAACATAAGATATGTATCAATTTAGTAATTATCGCTCTGTGACATACTAAGTACATATACAGTATTTCACTAACTGAGAAAGACCCGTGCTAGAATCCATGCTTTCCATAAACTATGCTTGTCATAAAAGGCGACTAACGGGATCGGGTGGTGAGGCACCCTGACTTGGTTGATGCATCGCATTCTATCCCGATTGCGTAGATCGATGCTCATGTCTCTACCATTTACAGACCGCCATCATATACTGGAATATTGCTGAGTGCGGCGTTAAACAACAAACAAACAAAAAACTAATTGGGTAATTATCCAATGGCTGAGGATCACAAAAACCATTGAACTCGTCAAAAGGTCAAAGGATGCAATCAACTAAAACACAAGTTTAGGAATGTTAATTCAAAGTTGTTACAATATAAGACATATAGAGCTTTAGTAATTACCGCCGCGTGACATACTAAACACACAACAATATACATATTTTACCTGTTCAGGTTTGTATATTAGACATGACAGCAAAAGTACTTTTCAGCTGCCTCGATTTACCGATTGTCCAATGTTGAAAATTACATGCAGACAACAATGAGTCATTCGATCGTCATTGACTAGGTTATATACTTGTATAAATACCTACTTTGCCCTTCTATTTCAAGAAGGGCAAAGTATTGATTTTACAAATAGAGACAAGGTACTGTTGCTCACCAGGTACAATCAAAGTGAGCCAATTCTTATTATGATATCAATATAATCTGACATCAGTGTTATGGTAACAATCATTCATGGAAAGTATCACCGCATTTGGTAAAGCTTAAGGATTCTTACGTGTTCTTAGATTTTAATTGCCTGACCACATGTGAATCCCACCATGGTGCTTGACATTCTCCTAACGTGTTAGCTTGATCCCTTCAGGCAGTACAGAAGATAGGTGTGAGCCCACTGACTGACAACGCACCATGCCATAAGCACACTTTGATCTCTGATCCTGGTGAGCTATCAATTTATAAATGTCAGTTCTAGGATTAGACATTACTATCTCTGTTAACTAAATACGCAGATACGTACCGTACGTATCATACGTCACGTGACGAAAAAAATAAACAATGTGTTTATTTCATTTTATACGAAATTAGTGAGCACATTCATAAACAATACTAAGGCACAGTAAATATAAAACGTCAACGCCTGAGAAAAACCCACCGAAACAGAATATGTTGGCGTAAAAAGCAAAATAGTGGTGAAAATTATATGAATGTATCACTGAAAATCAATGATGACACCAGTGTTCGCGAAAAAGGGTAAGCATGTCATTCCGTACCAGCAGATACCCGTGAAGATCCGGGGTAGAAAATGTCTTCAGCAACCCATGCTTGCTGTAAAAGGCGACTATGCTTGTCGAAAAAGGGGACTAAGGCGACCGGGTGGTCAGGCTCGCTGGCTTTGTCGATGCATGTCATCGATCCCAATTGTGTGGATCGATGCTCATGATATCAATCACTAGATTGTCTGGTCCAGACTTGATTATTTACAGACCGCCGTCATATAATACCTGGAATAATGCGGAGTGCGGCGTTAAACAACGAACCAGCCAAACCAATCATATCAAGTACCATAAGCTCTGTTGTTAGTAATAGACACTAACAAAGTGTCATTTCATCTTATGTGGGAATTCATACTTCCACAAATAGCTGGAATAATGCTGAGTGCGGCGTCAAACAACAAACAAAAAACTTCCACAGTCTGACTATTCCCTGCCAAACCCCTTACGACCATGGCAAGTGTGACATAGAGTCATGCTTGTTCACATCAGAGGTGACAAAAAGTCACCATAATTCCTGATGGCAAGGACACGTGAAGATCAAGGGTAGAATATGTCTTCAGCAATCCATGCTTGTCGTAAGAGGCGACGAACGGGATCGGGTGTCATCGATCCCAATTGCGTGATTCGATGCTCATGATATCAATTACTGGATTGTCTGGTCCAGACTCGATTGTTTACAGACCGCCGTCATATAGCTGGAATATTGCTGAGTGCGGCGTAAAACAACAAACAAACCAATCACGATGGCAAGAGCGATCCTGGATCTCTTTCAAAATTTTCTTCTCTTACCAGGGCATTGTGGAACATATTGCTGAAATTTTAGAAACATATTCTTAACACAACATATTTCAAGGATGAAATCATGTGGGCAGGTAAATACGCTTAATATTTGCTTTTTAGATACTAAAACAAAGAATGTGGAACCAGTGATCAAAAGGATTTTAAGCACAATTGCGGATAAATTCATGGTAAATGCTAGAGCTCTGAACGCGGCTTGATGGAACCTCATACGTAGCTGTACTACTCAAGTAGCAGTCAGACGACAGATATTTGAAATCTGCTGTAATACACAGGAAACCTGTTTCTGCAAAGCATGCAGACATACATGCCTCTATCGTTGTGACGTTCTTGATGATCCTGTTGTTGTATCTCATCAAGGCCATATTTCTAAATGTTGTGAAATCCGAACCATATGTAGCACACCCTGAAAGGAAATGTATTCTGAAAACGATGTCTGCAATTTTTATCAACTTTTTTTGACCAAACTTGACACCAGTGAAACTCTGAAACGTTTCGTGGTGACCATTTTATATATACTGAACAACAAAAGTTCCTGTGACATTGATTAAGATTTAATGCAAAGTTATGTTTTTTACCAAATCTGAAACAATTTCGGTTTGCAACAGATAAAAGACTCCTGTAAGTGTTCAAATGGTTTAATTTGCCATACTGACTTCAGAAAATTCGTGATTTTATAAAAAAAACATGAACATGCCAAAATGTCAATTTAAAAATCAATAGCGTGTGTGTCCACCTCTGGTTGCGATGCAAGCAACACATCTTCGTCTCATGAATGGACCAGGCGTCGCACAAAGTTCTGTGGGATATCTGTCCGTATCTGCTGGAGCATGTTTCGAAGTTCCTTGAGTGTCTGTGGAACACGTGGTTGACGTCGAAGGCGAGATCAGGGGAGTGAGCCGGCCAGGGCATGATATTCCCGTTGTTTTGTTGAAGAGAATCCTGAACAAGTCAAGCAATATGAGGTCGGGCGTTGTCATGTTGAAAGGTAATGCCTGGGCCATGACGACGCAAAAACGGTGGAACAACAGGGCCGATGATCTCGTCGCGGTAGCGCTGTCCATTGAGATTTTCCTCCACCACTATCAAACGGGACCTCTGTCTTGCTGTAATCCCACCTCATACCATAACGCTGCCGCTCCCAAACCGATCTTCTTCAATGACGCATTAGACCGCCTCCGTGGTCTAGTGGTAGAGCGTCCGCCCGGAGAGCGGAAGGTCCGGGGTTCGATCCCCGGCCGCATCATACCAAAAGACGTTAAAAGATTGTACTTGTTGTTACCCTGTCTGGCGCTCGGCATTAAGGGGCTAAAACAAGGACTGGTCGGCTCGGAGTCAGTATACTGTGTCTGAGTGGGATATTCATGTTAAACTGTGGCATGGTATCTCAGTGAGCTAGCACTATAAATCAGCATCAGTCCGGACTAGTACAAGCAGCCACACACACACACACACACGTACATGCACGTCGCAATATAAGTGCAATAATCTTGGACGCGACGTTAAACCCCATTTCACCTCACCTCCATGACGCATTGATTGACGTAACGTTCACATCGACGTCGGTACACTCGAATCCGTCCATCTCTGACTGCATTCGTCTGTTGCCAACGTTGCCATAAACACCAAATGGTGTTTCTGTGGACGTTAAATTGTTTTGCAACATCACGTTGACTCGATCCTGCTTCAAGCATAGCACTGGCTCGCAGACGCTCATTTTCGGACAGGCGTGGCATTTCGTAATGTTGAATAATTGCGTTAGTTTGTTGTTTTTCTGAGTGGTTGTTGTCAGCACGATGCTAAACAATACATATGGAATCCCGTTAACGCACATGTTATTATACCCATTCTTGGGTAGTAAAATGCATGGGGTTTGCAAAAAAATCAACTTTTGCATGGAATGCATGCTTTTCTGTAGCAGTTGCGTTTTTGTGACTTGATTCAAAACAAGTACTACAATATTGAAAACCAAACTTTACTAAAATACAGTAAAATATTGGTGTCACAGGAACTTTTGTTGTTGAGTATATTTCCATCGCTATCGTAAAAGGTTCAGGACAGATTGTCAAAAATTAAAGCAAATGCCATCTGAAGTTTACTGAGAAAACAATATGTGAACTCTCGGACTTCTCGTTGATAACATCTTTGGGAAATTTAAGGATGATGTTTAGGAAAGAAGTCTTCTCACCTTTCCGATCTGCTATTTGCCCTTTGTTGAACGATATCAGATCACCTTTATACCTCAAGCTTACGTTAAACTTCTTGGCCATATTCACGTGTTTTGTTACAAGGATCAAGGAATGCAATTTCCTTAAGATTGTTATTTGGGATAATTTCTTGACAGAATTTAACTTTGTTCTTTTCTGAGATTTTTATAAATTCAAGTGAGCATATCATTTGGTTTTTAGACTCTTGAAGGCTCGGGGTAGAATAGATCTTCAGCAACGTTTTATCCCATGCTTGCTGTAAACGGCGGCTATGCTTGTCATAAGAGGCGACTAACGGGATCGGGTGGTCAGGCTTGCTAACTTGGTTGACGCATGTCATCGTCTCCCAATTGCCTAGATCGATGTGCATGACGCTAGTCACTGGATTGTCTGGCCCAGACTCGATTACTTACAGACCGCCGTCATATAGCTGGAATATTGCGGAGTGCAGGGTTAAACAACAACCAAACAAACAAACATCTTTCGGTTTTGAGAGTCCATATGGTATTTATTCTACTGTTATCAAATACTTTCCAAGAATATAAAGAAAGGCCTTCCATGTTTTGAGTACAATGGTATATCGTTTAGACACGGATTTGGTGGCACTTTTGCTGAGCCATGCAACATCTCTCTCTCTTTGAATAAGATTTTATGGAGACCCACGTTCAGGTGTCACCAAGGAAACACAATAAGTAATAACACTATCCAGGTATCTCACGTGGATAGGTGTTCAACAGTTTAATATGTCTGCAAAATACACCCATAATCTTGAGAACAAATAACAATGACATCTTATGATTTGAACAAGAAAAGATATAAAATATTTTGATTTTTTTATAGCAATGTTATGTGCCATTAGGAGCTACATAAGCACATGCTCACGATATAGTAGGAATCGTACGATGATAATGGAGAGGATATTATCGCTCATTTTTATTGAGTCTCGCTTACAGCAGTGTACAAATATACGCATTCTTTAGTCTCATTTATTACTATCTCTAAGATCAATATTGCACTATGAGTTTCTTTCGCTGGCGAATGCTTTGTTCACATTTACCTCCAGGATAGAGTTTTTGACTTAAGTTGAGTCAAAGTTAAGTGGCACGTTGAGTCATTAAGACCTTAACGGCTAAACGGTTTTGACATTTAGGTGAAATATTGTTTGGCTTGATTTCGGGGAGCCATACCATAATAAATACATTACAACTAAGGAGCGCAAGAAGAATGCCTTCTACTGATACTTGAGAAGGATATTTATTGTCAATACATGTTTCACAATTAGAACTCAACTTACCTTGGACACAGCTGCCGCTTGAGTACTGGTGCATTATGTCACACACACACCATCCATCATTACAAGTCGTATTCACAACAGTGCAGTCAGCAGAGCCGTTGCAGGAACCGAAATGTACTGCAAATACAAAAATTGATTACGGGGAGGATTTGGACTTTGTCAAACTGAATTTGAGGACTATGGCCAAAGCAGACGGCCCTCTCAGACCACCAGCAAATATTCCCAAACCAACAAATTAAGTTTGACAAAGTGCGAATCCTCTCAACCAAACACCAGGACTTCACTAAAAGAAATTTCCTAAAAGCTACAGAAATCCGTCATCACAAAGCTTTGATTACACTGATGTTTTAACGGTTTTACATCTCGTCTGCCTATAAAGAGCTTATCAAGCAATACACTTTTAACAGCAGTGAGCAAAGGATTTCAGCTGCGAGCGTTAATATTATTAGTAAATGGACCCTTTAATAGCTGATAGTCTTAACTGACTAGAAAAAGAAAGTTATTATCGGAATTTTCGGACATCACAATACAAACCAAACAACTGATTTTTATACAATCAATTATGTTGTATAAGTCTTTCGTTGATGTAAAAATATGTTGATAAAGAATCCGATATTGTACAATAAAATATCGGAGGGGTCAGAAAGAGACTTCGTTTTCAATATCATTGCGTCACCACAAATGTGAACATTGAAAAATGTTCATGAAAACAGCGGCACACTTCTTCTATATCTTGAATGGTTTGGCTTGGTTGGCACTCGGCAATATTCCAGCCATATGACGGCGGTCTGTAAAATAATCGAGTCTGGACCAGACAATCCAGTGATTAATATCATGAGCATCGATCCATATAATTGGGATCGATGACCTGCATCAACCAAATCAGCGAGCCTGACCACCTGATCCCGTTAGTCGCCTTTTACGACAAGCATTGTCGCCTTTTATGGCAAGCATGGGCTGCTGAAGACCTATTCTACCCCGGATCACGGGTCAATGACCTGCATGGGCAGCACTTCTGGCAACAACTCGACGGCTCATCATTGATGGCAGTCTGTTCCAGCTCAGGCGACGTACAGTATTTAGGCGTTGTTGTTTCCAAGTAAGATGAGTTTGGTGTGGTGGGGGTATAAGTGACCCCGAGGGTATTTTATGGGTGATAGGTCCGGGGAACGAGACGCCCAAGGAAAATAGCAATGATACTTCAGGTCAGAAAGTCAGGGGTCTGGCGTTCGCCATTGAGGGGAACACACTGGGACAGGTGACTAAAGAATGGACCCGCAACAGGGCGAAAAAGTTTCCTCGTATTATGGATAACAAGACGTGTGCTTCTATCGCCATTGATCCCTCCCCGAACCATAATACATGTACCTCTTCCACCAAATGGATAGACTTCCTAGATGCAATTTGATGCCAATCTGTCGCCTCTACGTCGATAACTCGCTCTCGACTATAAGCATGGGACAAGTTGAGCTGACTTTCGTTTATCAACAGTACCATCTGCCAATCACGCAGTTGTCAACGCCGTACTGTGTGGTCCAACGAACTCTGTTCTGTCGATGAAGACGGGTAAAGGAATGGTCGGTTAGGTCGAATGTCTGCTGCCCGTCAGTGAAGGGGCTGCTGATACGACGACCTAAAGCTGACATAACGTCATGACCGATGACGTCACTGTCAGGAACCGGTTGCGCAGATGTAATGTACGCAGATAGCGGTCCTCACACGGGGTAATGACGCATGGTATGCCTAGTGTGTCCTGTCTGGTTGTACCTCTGGAGAAGTCGAGCTACTGTTATCCAGTTGTAACCTAAGATTTGCCCATTATGGACTTGCGTCATGCGTTATGTCTTGTTTCTTTGTTTGTTTGTTTATTGTTTAACGCCGCACTCGGCAATATTCCAGCTATATGACGGCGGTATCGAGTAATCGAGTCTTGACCAGACAATCCAGTGGTTGACGTCATGCACATCACTCCACGCAATTGGGATCGATGACATGCATCAACCAAGTCAGCGAGACTGACCACCCGATCCCGTTAGTCGCCTCTTATGACAAACATGGGTTGCTGAAGACCTATTCTAACCCGGATCGCCACGGCGTTCCGTCATGCGTGAAGACAATTGTTTCAAAATAATTCCAAGTAAATATAAATTAGTTACCAACAAATATTAAGAAACAAGTTTTGTTTTTAGAATGGAAGAGGAAAGTATAATATTGCATTGTTAGACTTGCCTTTAAATAAGTAAATCTTCGTAGAAATAACAGATAAGATAACCACCGTCATATAACTGGAATATTGCTGAGTGCGGCGAAAAACAACAAAACAAACCAAAAGAGATAAGAGAATACTGTGATCAATACCATACATACCTGGACAACTCGGGAGATGACAACTTTTGGGGGTAATTTCAACTAGATTCTCAGAGCAGTTATTCCCACCGTGCGCTGGGGCCGGGTTGGTGCAGGTTCGAGTTCGGGACTCGGTGTATGTGGCAAACTGTCCACAAGTTACTGAACAAGCTGCCACAGTCCATAAGCCCCAAGCGCTCACACCACCGTCCACTAAATTAACATTTGGAAAACAAAATCCTCAATCAACCCAATTTGATGATATTAATGTAATTATTGACACGTCACACGACCGGTGACACGTCAAAAACACAAACTCAAGATTTGACCTGAACAAACACGGGAGCATATAGCACAGATCAAAGTAGCATTGGAATAGCATTGGATATTAGTCTGGTCACTGATACCTTTAGAAATGTCCTCCATATGTCTACACTACAACTTTTGAAAGCTGTTCTATGACGTGGAATGCTGTGAACCTGATCAAATAACCTATGGGCAATAATATTTTAAAAGCTTTATTGAAAGAGCATGCAACAATTGTATCTCAACAGTTTAAACATGTGAACATCAAAGGTAGGACCTGTTCGAATAGTGTTTGACATTATGGGGGAAATGGCTATGGGAAAGCTGAAGTCACCCCTCTTGTCGTATAGCCTTGAGGATCGTTTTGGCACTCACAATGTTTATGCACAGATCTACATATGAACGGGAGGTTTCACAATTTCTTTTATTAAACCATTGTCAAATAATGCCAAACGTGTCTGCTATATATACAGTACAGTAAAAAGTGAGTTATCGCCAGTGTCATTAGAGTAGGGATGTATCATCAGCCTGATAACATTGTTCTTAAAATTCTTATGATTCATTTAGTTAAACTAAGATCCCACAAACCTGGACAGTCAATGAGATCACAGGTATCACTTTTAGTATCGCTGAGTGTCTCCATACAGGAAGCGCCGCCGTTCGCTGGGGAGGGATTGGTGCAAGTTCGAGTCCGAGTCGACATGCCAGGAGAAGGATTGCCACATGTTTCTGAGCAGGACTTTGAGCCCCATGAGCCCCATGCACTAACACCACCGTCGACTGAAGAACAATCATATCGTCGGTGAATTTAATAAATCATTTATCTGTGGCACATTGAAGTTAAGGATAAGAGGAATGGGACGGTTTGTTGGGCGTTTTACTGCATCGATGTGATCAAGAATATGTAACCCAGTGATATTAACACATCCAGTGTCCATACTGGCACCCAATCCATCGATCCGCCTTGTAGAAGTATTTGCTCTCTAAGACAGATAACTTGACATGATAATACCAAAGCCCATGTGTGCTTCTTTATTTGGTTCACATTATAATAATATTCATAACAAATCTGACGCCGTTGACTTTTAAATATCGGTTCAAGTGATTGAATATAATTGTTGTCCTCTTTTGGCCTTTGCACAACATAATTAAAATTCATAGAGAAGGTAATTAGAAAATGAAACCTTACACGATAGACATTTGACCATTTTTAATTACCTGGTGGGCAAGATGAATACATGTTGAATCCAGATTCTGTAGTGTAGGGAGATGTGGCTGGTGTGTTGTAGGCCACACATTCCCCTGTACTCTGGCTATACCCAAAGGACTTGATGGTGGGGAACAACGCACATCGAACTGCACACTGTGTTAGACTGGTAAAGGTATTATTCGTCCACATCACTCCTCCCGTAACTCTTTTGTTTTCAAATCCGACTAGAGGTGTTATGTCACATGTTCCACATAGACCAAGCGTCCTGCACCAACAGTTAGAAAATAGAAAAATACCCGATAATAGCGTCAAGATGTCCATGACTGGAAATGGTTTCATTTGATTCCTAGCTGAGAATAAGACGTGCTGATCATGCCCTGAAGCCGTTTGCATCTAAGACCGAGTTGGGACAGTTCATTATAATTTGACGGTACATGTAGGAAGAATATTGGATCAATTACGTCACAAAACCATTTAAGACCTAATCCATATTACCCTTTAAATATACATGAACTGTGCGGGTTGCACTCAACCATTTCTAGACCAATCATGAACGTCGAATAAGGGCCTCTTTGCTTCATTTCTTCTTCATACAATAAGATTTAATTATAGATACATTGTTCCCAATTAAATCAGATATGTGATTATGGTTTGTACGACGTCAATATGAGATTCAATTGTTCGGAATTGATTAAAAATACATCTTGACTGGAAGATCCAATCAGTCCAACATTTTTAATGAATGAATTTGGTTTCTGTTATCATGTGTGTCTGTATGCATTTTGGAAACTATCAGTTAAATTAAATATGTAGGGGTGTTTGAATTCAGTCTCTGCGAACGATACATTCCCTTGATATGACGCCATTTGTCATATTACCTCAAAACATCCTTCTTCAAGCCATAGGGTGGTCGGGTAAAGTGGTTAAAGCGTTCGCTTGTCACGCCGAAGACCCGGGTTCGATTCCCGACATGGGTACAATGTGTGAAGCCCATTTCTGGTTTCCCCCGCCGTGATATTGCTGGAATATTGCTAAAAGCGGCGTAAAACCATACTCACTCACTCACTTCAAGCCATCACATATATGGATTTTCACATGGTTGAAGTTTAGCTGACAGTAAAATAAAAGTGGACTTCTACTAAAAAACTACGACGCTACCCTTGTGTCAGCAAATGTTGGAAAGTAATTATCCTGTGCATAGTACATGTACGTTCTTTCTTGGGTACATTTCGGGGGGAAATGAAAGCAAATGCCATCTGATGATTATTATGAAAGAAATATGTGAAATGCTGGACTTCCTCCCTGATTACATCTATTTAACATTTGGGGGCAACAATCTCTATCCACCTTCCCTGTTTCTCTATGCATATGAATCGGAATCCAATCCTTTCACCGATTTACCCACCTGAACTAGAAATAAAGGAGACCAGTGGGACCGCCTACTATGTTTCATATTTAGATCTAAGAATAACTTTTCAGAATGACAAAACACTCTCCACAAGACTGTATGACGAGAGGGATGACTTCAACTTTCAAATAGTCAACTTTCCCTTCAATTCGAGCAATATTCCAGTATTTCAAGCCTTTGGTGTTCACAACTTTTGAGATACATTCCTGCGTGCCCTTTCATCAAAGAACGTCATACGACTCTTGCTCAAAAGTTTTTTGATCCAGGTTGCTGATTTACTTGAAAAGGTAATAGATACAACATTCGTTAGCATCGATGCTAGTGTAAAATATATCACTTTATCATAAAATGGGTAGGTTTCTCTGCAGGATAAAGCCAACGGATAAAAACGATAGGCGTTGGAGTCATATGCGGATAGAGAGGCAAATATATGAGGTCAAGTAGGGACTACTTTCACTGTTTACAAACACACATGGCGTCGCCCTTGTCATTCGGCGATCGAGTCAGAATTAACCATCGGGAATCTGGAGAAACCACTGGCATAATTGCTATCATTATCAAAAGAACAGTCTAATATACTGAAAATCAGTGTCTAACTGTGACGTAGCTAAGGCATTTTACAAGTTTGGGCAACTTTGGAGACATAAATTTTGCGAGGGCACTAGTCCTAGCCAAGCGGGATCAGTAGCCATATCTGTGCTCGTAGACCTCTGCGGCTTTTCGTTTTGTCGCTGTGTGTACATCTGACTGTACTTCGTAACGATATGACAGGACAGGCTGTCAACAACGTCTGACTGTGGCCGTGACGTCTCATAGACTAGGGTTAGAGTAGCTACCCTTTGACAACGGGCAGTTACTCTAGCGGACAGACAGATGGATTGCCGTGAAAGGCAAGAAAAACAATTCGTGTAGGCAATTGTTGTTTTGCGTATATGTTGTTTCCCCACTGTATAAGAAACATGTTTCAGTTGGAACTATAGTGGCTACTGTCATTGTCCGGCTGACACATCATTTATACCCTGTGACGTAATATATATCAATGCGCACATTCCAGGAAAACTTGCAATGCTTCGGTAATGTTTGTGAGAGAAGGAAAGCGATTTTCAAGCACAGAATTGAAGAATGACATTAAATGATAAAGAGGTTATCACGCTTGTGTGTTTGGGGGTGGTAAAGGCTCGCTAAATACAATGTTTATTCCTAATACAGGATATTTAGCATCCCCAAACCCACTCGCGTGATAACCTCTAGGAAGCCTTATGTATTGGTGCATCAGATATGAAGGGAAAAGTTTGCATTTACAAACCGCATCGTCATTGGTATGATAGTTGCTGTGGGTTATTAAAATAAAGAAAGATGTAAATGTTTAAATATATTTCGAAGGAAAAAAGATTTGGTTTTATTGGAAATTATCACTGCATCCGGAATCAGTATAAAGAAACATGTATAAAAAAGTTGTATATTATGAAATAAAACAGGAAATCATAATCCAAAAGTTTTTTGGTCAACTCTTAAAAAGCTTGGGACAACTCCACACAGCAAGTTTATCAGCTTGAATGTTATTGCAAAGAGTGGAATTTACCTGTCAATAAGAATAAGACAAAAGTAATTGTTTTCAAAAATGGTGGTTCACTAGCTAGAAGAGAGAATTGTTTTATCAAGGGCATTCATTAGATGTTGTGACGTTCTATAAGTACTTAGGTGTATATTTTGTAAATAGATTGTCATGGAAGATGCATGCTAACCAAGCTGCTGTACAAGCTAAGAAGATCCTAATTGGAATTCTTCAACATATGAAAGTTCTTGGAAATATATCATATAATAGATTCTTTAAGACTTTCGATTAAAAAATAAGCCCATTTTCGTTATATGTAGCAGAGGTTTGGGGATAGGAAATGATTGATGTTATAGACAAAATACATTTATATGCATGTAAAAGATTCCTTGGTGTGAAACCTCGTACGTCTAATCTAATGGTCTACGGAGAATGTGAACGATACCCTTTAATTATGTTTGTAAAGTTAAAGACGATAAAATACTTAAGTTAGTTCAAATGCCTGATACAAGATATCCAAAGAAATGTTATAACATGCTATTACTCTATGATCAACAAGGACAGACTAACTGGGCATCTTGTGTTAAGCGTCAGCTTTAATCATGTGGTTATGGTACCATATTGATGGTTTGTTTGTTTGTTTCGTGTTTAACGCTGCACTCAGCAATATTCCAACTAAAAGACGGCAGTCTGTAAATAATCGAATCGGGACCAGACAGTCCAGTGATTGACATCATGAGCATGTATCCATGCAATTGCGATACGATGACATGCATCAAACAAGTCAGTGAGCCTGACCACCCGTTAGTCGCCTCTTACGACAAGCATAGTCGCATTTTACAGCAAGTTGGATATATGGGGATCGTAAGAGAACACAAAATTTGTCAGTTTTGTGATTTTAAACATACGAAAGTGAATACCATTTCTTACTACTTTTTCCGTTGTATACTTAACTCAGAAAACAGTTCATTAATAAATATTATATCCGTTATTCAAGTTTACAGAAATTTGTTTCGTTAATGTCAAGTAAGAATGTAGTAATAACGAAAAAAGTGTCAATGTACATATTGCATGAGCCAAGAAGCTCCAAATGTGTTACCTTATAAACGTTTATACACCAATTACTATATATTGGTTGGTTGGTTTGTTGTTTACCGCCGCACTCAGCACTATTCCAGCTATATGGCGGCGGTCTGTAAATAATCGAGTCTGGACAAGACAATCCTGTGATTGTGTCATGAGCATCGATCCTCGCAATTGGGACCAATGACATGCATCAACCAAGTATATATAAAAGGTAGTGTTTATGAACGGAACAGTTTGTCGAATCACCATCTGAGATCCACCTCTCAGCAATCGTGACGAACGCAACTTCGTCAATGAACACTTAATATGGAGATCAGTTGTCGAATAACAACACCTATGCATATTTTTTAGTTAAATCATGATCAGATGAGGTAATTTGCTGTTTGTGTCATGTTCAAGATTACTGCTCTAGTATAGCGACGTGCATGCATGCGTGTGTGTGTCTATCTACTAGACTACGGGGGCTGCCAGTTTAAAACACATAACAAACCTATGCAATAATGTGCAAACTTGTTTAATCACAATAGTGACATACACAACATGATGATATTTCAAGGCGAAGTACACATACAGTATTTCACTAAATGAGAAATTATCCCATGGCTCCACTTTACAAAACCATTGAGCTCGTCGAAGTATATATACAGTATTTAACTCCATGAGAAATTATCAAATGGCTTAACATTACAAAAAATATTGAGCGTGTCAAAAGGTCAAAGGTTGCAGTCAACTGAAATTACAAGTTTAAGAATGTTAATTCAAAATTAAAACAACATAAGATATGTATCAATTTAGTAATTATGGGTCTGTGACATACTAAACACACAACAAATTACATATTTTAACTGTTCAGGTTTGTATATTAAACATGACTAAGCAAAAATACCTTTCAGCTGCCTACATTGTCTAATGTCGAAAATTCGATGCAGTCAACAGTGACTCGGATATGTTTGTATACATACATGTACATGTTTCAAGAAGGGCAAAGTATATATTTTACAAATAGCGACAAGGTACTGTTGCTCGCCAGGTACTATCAAAGTGAGCCAATTCTTATTGTGACATCAATATAATCTTACGTATACATCAGTGTTATGGTAACAATAATTCATGTAAAGTATCACCGCAATTGGTAAAGCTTAAGGATTCTCACATTTTCTTTGATTTCAATTTTTGCCACATATGAATTCCACTATGGTTCTTGACTTTCTCCTAAAGTTTAATATTCATCCATTCGGGCAGTACAGAAGATAAGTGCGAGCTCACTGACGGACAACGCGCCATGCCATGAGCATACTTTGACTTCTGGTATCAATTTCAGTTCAAGGATTAAACATTGATATCTCTATTACCTACATACTCAATACATGTACGTACCATAAGTGATTGCAAAAAAATAAAAATGTGTTACTGTGTCTGCGTGTTTATTTTATTGTATACAAAATAAGTGAGCACATTCATAAAAGAAATACTAGGCACGGTAAATATATAACGTCAACGCCTGGGAAACCAGCTGCAGTCTTGGTGATCGACTGAAACAGATTCTGTTGGTGTATGAGGCAAAATAGTGGTAAAAAGTATATGAATGGATCACTGAAAATCAGTGCTGATACAAGGTGTTCGCGAAAAAGGGGAATCGTGTCCTCCCTACCGGTAGCACCGACCATTCACACAATGTGCAAGACCGTCCAACGGTTCTATCCAGTATATAGCTAATGTTGTGTTTTTATGACTGATTTATTTAGTCTGAAAAAGTGGTCAATTTTTCACATTTCAATAAATACCAAAACCCATGAATTCTTGGATCCATAGATCATGAAACAAAGAATGTGGAACCATGAAGCAAAAAGATCTTACGCACAATTGCGGATAAATTCATGGTAATTGCTGGAGCTCATAACGCGGCTTAATGGAACCTCATACGTAGCTAAACTACTCAAGTAGCAGTCAGACGACAGATGTTGGTAATCTGCTGTAATACACAGGAAACCTGTTTCTGCAATGCATGCAGACATACATGCCTCTATCGTTGTGACGTTCCTGATGATCCTGGTGTTGTATCCGCTCAAGAGCATATTTCTGAATGTTGTGAAATCCGAACCATAGGTAGCACACCCTGAAAGGAAATGTATTCTGAAAACGATGTCTGCAATTGTTTTCATCTTTTTTGACCAAACTTGACACCAGTGAAACTCTGATTTCGTGGTGACCATTTGATATATTCCCATCGCTGTCGTATAAGGTTCAGGACAATTTGTCAAAAAGTAAAGCAAACGCCATCTGACGTTTACTGAGAAAACAATATGTGAACTGTCGGACTTCTCGTTGATAACATCTTTGGGAAATTTAAGGATAATATTTAGGAAAGAAGTAATCTCACCTTTCCGATCTGCTATTTGTCCATTGTTGAACGATATCAGATCACCTATATACCGTAAGCTAACGTTAAACCTCTTGGCCATATTCACTTGTTTTGAATGTCCTTTTCACATGCATGATAAGAAACAGAGCAGCAAGGAGTGGAGAGCAATTAGAGCCCTGTGGGATGCCTACTTCATGTCCTATCCCCCTAATGTTACATAGATGGACTCTATGAGTAGGACATTTGCTTTAAATTTTGACATTGTACTGAACCTTTGAAGATATATATGTACATCTATTGACACCATGTTTTGTTACAAGGATCACGGAATGCAGTTCCCTTACGTTTGTTATGTGGGATAATGTTTATGACAGATTATAACTTCTCTTTTCTGAGATTTCAAACAATGCAAGCATATCCTTTGGGTTTTGAAAGTCAAAATGGTATTAACTCTACTGTTATCAAATACTTTCCGTGAATATACAGGAAGGCCCTCCATGTATTGAGGACTATGGTTAATCTTAAAGGCACGGATTTGCTGGCACTTTTCCTGAGCCATGCAATATCTCTCGCTTTGAATGGCTTGGTTGGTTGGTTTGTTGGTTAACGCCGCACTCAGCAATATTCAAGCTAAAAGACGGCGGTCTGTAAATAATCGAGTCTGGGCCAGACAATCCAGAGATTAGTATCATGATCATCGATCCACGTAATTAAGTGGATGACATGCATCAACCAAGTCAGCGAGCCTGGCCACCCGATCCCATTAATCGCCTCTTACGACAAGGATAGTCTCCTTTTACGGAAAGCATGGGTTGCTGAAGACCTATTCTATCCCGGATCTTCACGGGCCGCTTTGAATGGAATTTTATGGAGTCCCACGTTCAGGTGTCACCAAGGAAACACATTAATTACTAACGCTAAAATAAATAATGCAATAGAATTGTATCTCACCTGGATAGGTAGTTAACTGTTTAATGTCAACAAAGACAGCCACTGTTGCTGTCAGTTTACATATTTAATGATTTATTTGCATAAATCTTGAGAAAAAATAACAATGACATCTAATGATATGATCAGGAAAACATACACATTCACAGTTTACACAGTGATATATCTATTTTGAAAGAATTTATCAGCATCTTCAAGTCTAGTGTGTGTGTGTGTGTGTGTGTGTGTGTGTGTGTGTGTGTGTGTGTGTGTGTGTGGAACATGTATTTGAACTACCAACTACACATTTACCAAATTTAATCACATTCTATGCATACATCGCGGGCTAATGGGCATAAATATGTCTGCTACTGCCATAATACAATCGGTTTTGAACCTTTTGACTAATTAAGATGTGGTGAGAACATGCACATGACGTTCCAGCTTCATTAGTCTAGTGGTTTCGGAAGAGATGATTTTACAGTGAGAGAAAGACCCGTGAAGATTCCGGGTTAGAATAGGTCTTCAGCAACCCATGCTTGCCGTAAAAGGCGACTATGCTTGTCGTAAAAGGCGACTAACGGGATCGGGTGGTCAGGCTCACTGACTTGGTTGATGTATGTCATCGATCCCAATTGCATGGATCGATGTTCATGATATGGATCACTGGCTTGTCTGGTTCAGACTCGATTATTTACAGACCGCCGTCATATAGCTGGAATATTGCTGAGTGCGGCGTTAAACAACAAACCAACCAACCAACCAACAGTGAGAGAAAATGTGGGATAGTGAGTGTATATCGTAAAGAAGCAATGACATAGAGGTCCAATACCATGTCAAGATTCATAACTAGAGCTTACGATTTTGGTAGGAACGTGTTACGAAACACTGTGAGTGAGCTCTCGCGCCGAATGTCCTCGGTATAACGCATGTCTGCAATCATTATATCATGTAACCTGGATCTGCATGACGGCATTTCTTTATTCTGTGTAAAGTTAAGTAACCAGCAGAAGAACGAATGTGTTCTTGACGACCTTTTATTTTTCGGCTTTCACAAAGATGTCAGCAAGAGGCATTTTTGTACATTATTTTTTAAATACAACCCTTTCCCGTTCGGCTTAAAGCAGAACACCTTGTAGGATTCCATAATTCTATACCATGAGCATGTGTTCATAAAACACTATTCAAAAGCACTCAATATCTATGTGTACTTCGAGAACAAAATGCAATTACAAATCGTCAACTCCAGAGAATAACCTATACACATAAAAACTTAACAACATGTATCAAATATCCGCAGAAACAGATTCCACTGGCCGTAAAAGGCAAAATATCAGTAAAGGAAATAAGATGTATAAAATCAGTGTAGTATCACGGAACTGCGGCATTTTGTCTCACATTTTGCAGTTTCTGATCAATTAAATAATCTGTTTTAATCATAAAAAGTGAATCAAGGTTAATATCAAATTTATGTGAATCTCCCCTTTCAAGCATTTTTGACGCCACAGATTACACTATGAGAAAGCCAATCTGTGTGTCCCCCAAGATTACTTTTTATAGTGATTCATAAACACATGCTTACAATATAGCAGGAATCGTACAATGATTATGGACTGACTATGATCGATTATAATGATTGAGTGTTGCTTAAAGCAGTGTATTGTTAACACTGTGAGTTCCATTCGTTGATGAATGCTTTGATCACAAATACCTCGAAGACAGGGTTTGATACGTTTCATTCTGAAAGTTGAATCAAGGTCAAGTGGCATTTTGAGTCATTAAAACTATGATGGGTAAACGTCGTTGACATTTCGCTGACAGATTGTCTTGGTTGATTTCGTAGAATCATACCATAACAAATACTTTACAACATACACACGCAGGAAGAAAGCCTTCCACTGATACTTGAGAAGGATGTTTGATTGATTTAATACATGTTTCACAATTAGAACTCAACTTACCTTGGACACAGCTGCCGCTTGAGTACTGGTGCATTATGTCACACACACACCATCCATCATCACAAGTCGTATTTACAACAGTGCAGTCAGCAGAGCCGTTGCAGGATTCGAAATGTACTGAAAATACAGAAATTGGATGTTGAGAGGATTTGGACTTTATCAAACTGAATTTGATGGCTATGGAATTTGGATTTGAATCGACTCTTATCTGTCTATACACAGTACCCTCTGCCAATTACGCCGTTGACCAAACGTAGATGATGTTACTGTCATGACGTTATGTAATGTTTGCAGATAGCGGTTGTGACGCGTGGTCTCTCTTAGTGTGTCCTGTCTGAAGAAGTTTTATTTATTTATTTATTTTATGTATTTATTTTTTGTTTAACGCCTCACTCAGCAATATTCCAGCTATATGACGGCGGTATGAAAATAATCGAGTCTGGACCAGACTTCTAGTGATTGACGTCATGCATATCGATCCACACAATTGGTATACAATGACATGGATCAATGAAGTCAGCGAGCCTGAACACCCGATCCCGTTAGCCGCCTCTTACGACAAGCAGAGTCGCCTTTTTTACGGCAAGCATGGGTTGCTGAAGAGCTATTGTACCCCGGATCTTCACGGGTCCCTCGGAAGTCGAGCCACTGTCATGCGGTTGCATCCCAATGTTCTTGCAATATGGACTAACGTCACGCCCACAGTAGCCATACCCATTGCCTTCTTCCTTCTACTGCGGTTAATGTGTCCCATCGATTTGCTCACCTTTTATACCTTGCGTGTGCACCCTTTCTGATTTTTGGTGTGTTTTTTACAAAAAGTGCGAACATAAAAATCTCGGAAATGCACAGTCTTGGCGTCACAGACACACGTTTTTTGCGTTTAGACAATCTTTCCCATTACTTCCAGGTAAATTATTATGAGTTACAAATAGATATTGAGCGATTTCCGATGCTTTCTTTCTTTTGCTAGTCTGCATACTTTCAGTATCCTGCATGAGAATGAAAGTACGGAAGTTCAAGAATGATAGTATTTAAGTAAAACAGAAAAATGACAAGAAATCCTTTTGGTTATATATTTTGAACTCAGTTCTGCAATTTAATGTTTAAGGTTAAAAGACTATTTCTTTTTGAGTACGTTCCTAGCGAAACTAAAAGTAACAAAACTAGGGACATAGCTCTATTAAGATACCTCTTTTAATTACACTCATGCAAGATATTGAGTCCTATGACAAAGTTGTATCGCCTAAATATATTTATCACGTCCTTTACATGTAAACTGAACAATTATTCAGAAACAAGAAACAAGTTTGGTTTTTAGAGGTGAGGAGGACAATATAAGTATCGTTATGCTAGACTTGGCTTTACATAAGTTAATCTTCGTATACGAGACACTTCGATCAGTACCATGCATACCTGTACAACTAGGGAGATCACAACTCTTTGGGATAATTTCAGCTAGACTCTCAATGCAGTCTTTCCCACCGTGTGCTGGAGCTGGGTTGGTGCAGGTTCGAGTTCGGGACTCGGGATAAGTGGCAAACTGTCCACAAGTTACTGAACAAGCTGCAACAGTCCATGAGCCCCAAGTACTCACACCACCGTCCACTAAATTAACATTTGGAAAACAAAATCCTTAATCAATCCTATTCGATAAAATCAATGTAAATATTGACACGTGACACGACCGGTGAAACGTCGAAAACACATGCCAAGGCAACTCAAGATTTGACCTGAACAAACACGGGAACATAAAGTGCAGGTGAAGTAGGGAATTGCATTGGATATTAATTTGATCACTGATACCTTTTGAAAGCTGGTCTATGACCACAAATGCTGTTAACCTGATGAAACAACCTTTGAGCAAGAGTCGTAGAATATTCTTTGAAATCTTTACGATAAGAACATGCTCGATTGTACCATGCTCGATTTGTAAAATGTAAACATCAAAGGTCGGAGTTGTTCGAATATTGTTTGACATAAAGGGAAAGTTGAAGTCATTGTTCTTCCCGTACAGTACTGTTGACAGTTTTTTTTCACTCTGAATGTTTATGCACAGATCTACATATGAACAGGTTTCACAATTTCTTTCATTAAACCATTGTCAAATAACTCCAAACGTGTCTGCTATCTATACAGTACAGTAAAAAGTGAATTATCGCCAGTGTCAATAGAGTAGGGATGTATCATGAGCCTGATAATATTGTTCTTAAAATTCATTTAGTTAAAAAACTAAGATCCCACAAACCTGGACAGTCAATGAGATTACAGGTTTCACTTTTAGTATCGCTGAGTGTCTCCATACAGGAAGCGCCGCCGTTCGCTGGGGAGGGATTGGTGCAAGATCGAGTCCGAGTCGACATGCCAGGAGAAGGATTGCCACATGTTTCTGAGCAGGACTTTGAGCCCCATGAGCCCCATGCACTAACACCACCGTCGACTGAAGAACAATCACATCGTCGGTGAATTTAATAAATCATTTATCTGTGGCACATTGAAGTTAAGGATGAGAGGAATGGAAAGGTTTGTTGGGCGTTTTCCTGCATCGATGTGATCAAGAATATGTAACCCAGTGATATTAACACATCTAGTGTCCATACTGGCACCAAATTCATCGATCCGCCTTGTAGAAGTATTTGCTCTCTAAGACAGATAACTTGACATGATAATACCAAAGCCCATGTGTGCTTCTTTATTTGGTTCACATTATAATAATAATCTTCATAACAAATCTGACGTTTTTGACTTCTAAAGATCGGTTCAAGTGATTGAATATCATTGTTGTCCTCTTTTGACCTTTGCACTTGCACAACATAATTAAATTCACAGAGAAGGTAATTAGAAAATGAAATCTTACACGATAGACATTTGACCATTATTAATTACCTGGTGGGCAAGATGAATAGATGTTGAATCCAGTTTCTGTAGTGTAGGGAGATGTGGCTGGTGTGTTGTAGGCCACACATTCCCTTGTACTCTGGCTATACCCAAAGGACTTGATGGTGGGGAACAAGGCACATCGAACTGCACACTGTGTTAGACTGGTGAAGGTAGTATTCGTCCACATCACTCCTCCCGTAACTCTCTTGTTTTCAAATCCGACTAGAGGTGTTATGTTACATGTTCCACATAGACCAAGCGTTCTGCACCAAAGGTTAGAAAATAAAAAAATACCCGATAATAATGTCAAATTGTCCATGAATAGAAATGATTTCATTCAATTCCTAGCTGAGAAAAAGACGTGTTGATCATGCCTTAAAGCCGTTTGCATCTGCGATCGAGGTGGGACATTTCATGTTATTTTATAGGTATACATGGGACGAAAATTGGAAAAGGTTCTGTCACAAAACCATTTAAGACCTCCTCCATACTTCCCTGTAACTATATGTGATCTATACGGGTTGGACTCAACCATTTCTAGATCAATGATGAACGTCGAATGAGGGCCTCGTCTTCTTCAAACAATAAAATCTACTTATAAATAAATCAGATATGTGATTATTGTCCGACAAGACATCAATATGAGGTTCAATTGTTCGCAATCAAATTCATACGTACAACTTGACTGGAAGACGGAGCCAATCAGCACTCTTTGTTATGCTGTCTGTATGCATTTTGGAAACCATCTTTTTACAACTATGTTCCTCATAGTTAAAGTAGGATAGGATAGAAATACAAAAAGAAGTGTGTGATTTCAGTCTCAGTGAACGTTACATTTCCGCCTTATGACGTGATTTGTCAATTCACCCAACAATTATCCTTTAAAAAGACTGACGTTTTAGCCCAGTCAATAGGGCGTGTGATCGGAGATCGTGCTGGTTCGATCTCTGGCTCCGTCATACCAAAAGACGTTAAAAGTTTAACTTGTTGTTACCCTGCCTGGCATTAAGGGGATTAAACAAGGACTGGCCAGCTCGGAGTCTGAGTGGAGTTTCAATGTTAAACCGTGGCATGGTATCTAGGTGGGCTAGCACTATAACTGACATTGAATTCCGTACTGGTACAACAGCATATGAACGCCAGACCTACGGGTTTTAGTTGAATTAGGAAAATGATAATGACCAAATGAATGTAGAGACCCAACTCCAAAACAAGAAGATATAAATATTGAGTCAAGCCGTAAACAAAGGTATGGGGCCATCAGCTTTACACAAGGTTCCAATGTAGCTGGAGAAAAACAGTGAACTTGGAAACCTACCTTTCCTGTGCATAATACACTCATTTTAGAATGCATTTTAAGGGGGAAAGCTACCTAGAGTGTGTACAATGCACTGTCGCAAATCTGATCATTGCTCTCAAAGTCCATAACACTCACCATCTAACAAATCCAGTGATTTTCGAACACAATATTCAATTTAAAACTGGAACACCCGAATTAAACTATTCTTACATCTGTACTTCCGTTGCAGCTCTTAGATATGTATTAAACGATTTTAAAATAAATTCTCAGTGTATTAAAGGTAGTGTTAATGAATTGAACAGTTTGTCGAATCACCATCTGAGATCGACCTATCAGCGATCGCCGACTTACGCACATCGTATATGAACACACAGAATGGAGTTGACATATTACTGAACTGTGCCTATTTTTCAGTTAAATAATGACCCCGTGGTGATTCTGGTTTACATTAGGTCCCCAGAAATATATGCGGGTCGCTTGAGGCGCGGTGTTTGGTTCATTGCATGTCATCTTACTCCACAGCGTGGATCGCTTCTCAAACTATCAATCAATCAATTGATTCTCTGGTCCAGTAATTACAGCCCACTGTCAATTAGCTAAATATGTAATTTGTGATACCTTTGAGTAAACTTGATGAAAAGGTGGAAATTGTGACAGCTGACATTCTTATTGTCTTTATATTAAAGCTTCTCGTAAGGACTTATTGGTAGCAATTCCCAGTTAGAAATAACACCATAACAAAGGTTTCGTTTGGGAATTACGCAGGGCTGATTAAGTTACTACCGACAGACCTTTTGCGAACACCTGGTGTCATCACTGATTTTCAGTAATTCATTCACTTCTTTGCCTTTTACGCCCAATGTCACATGTTCCGGCAGATAATCGAGACTTATTAAACTCTATCGTTGGCGTTTTATATTTCTGAAGTTGAATACATGAAATTGTCTCCATACGGAGCAACGACAACATGTTTTAGCACACAAGGCGAATGGGTTCCACACCAATGACCCACGCGGTTAGCACAGATTAAATTGCGAGTCGCCCATGCATATAAGCGTAACCAACTTCTAGACAGTAATGAATTGATTAGTCATGCAAGCTACGTGGTATGTATTCCTGAAATGTTAATCAATAGATGGAGACTTAGAACATGAAGACAAATGGATCAATATGTTAAAGATTACCACTAATGCCCCTAATATTTTCACTAATATGAACTAGTGTTTTGTGGTCGTCAAATACCTAAAGCAGAAATATAAATGTAAAGCGGTCTTTGAAGTATAAAACTCAAATGACCATACAGACTGTTTATTTGTAGCTACACTGAACTTATATGACTGGGAGAATATCCCCATCCAAACAGAACACATGTTTCACACTCATTACAGATATCACGACTCCTGTTATACTGTCTATTTTCACAAAGTAGGTTTGCAGTGTGTTGCTTGTAATATTTAGGTTATCTTACAAGCTTACAAAGAACAAAGACGCCGTCATACACAGTTGGCGACTGTCAAAACTGTTTGAACAACTTGTGTAAATGAACTGACCACATTTGAAGCAGACTTTTGTGTGAAGTACTGTCTAACTCTAGAACTCAGTTTCATTGTGAACCTGACATAACAATACATTCCAATATATCCAGATAAAACGCGTCACTTTATTATACGAACATGGGACACGCATACATTTTAAACCTGCATTCATTTCATGATTTACAGAGTCTTATCTCTAAGTGCAAGAATAAATTGAAAGACATATTAATCTGAACATTAAAAGTTTGAATAACCTTTTCAGGATTGCAGTTATCGCAGTGTATGCATTAGTTGCTTGATTAATATAAACCAAAACATTTGAGTTTGGGATGATTTGAATCGAATTTGCTAAAATTGCCCATTTTTGGTCGGGTATCAAGAGCGGACATAATATATTTCAATCAATTATCATATTGTTATACAAAATGAAATTTCGAAAAATGAGAAAATTCAAAATTACCAAAATGTTCTGAGACAAATGGTTCATCAGGTAAAATATAAAGTGAATAACTAAAAATGTTCAAAACGAGAGCACAATAGGTCTCTGTATATCTTCAATACTCTTTTCCCTGATCCATTTTAGAACTAACAGGAGGAGGAAGTTAAGTATGAATAAGTTATGGGGCTGCTCTCATGCGCCTTATACTCAATTCCACCATGCGTTTCGAGAATGATCGATTCCAACTGGTCAATAAAAGGTAATAAACCTATCTTAACCTATCCCATATTCAAGAATCCGCAAAAGACTTTTTACAAATCCAAACCAGTAGACAAGTAGTCATAGATAGCACCGCGCTTGTTCTGTTCTTGGGGTAGCCTTGTGGTTCAAGCATTCGCTCGTCAAGCTGAAGACCCGGGTTCGATTCCCAACATGGGCACAATGTGAAAAGACCATTTCAGGTGTGCCCCGACATGATATTGCTGAAATGCATCCATTTATTATGCGAACAAGGGACACTCTCATTTTTTGCATCCTTTTGATTATTTACAGTATCTTATCTCGACGTGCAAGAATAAATTGCAAGACTGATATTAATCATTAACGTGTTCAATATTTAAGGTCAGGTAAGCTTTGCTGTTATCGCTGTGTAACTATATAGTTGCTAGATGGAACCATTTGTGTGAGTGAGTGAGTGAATATGTTTTTACGCCGCTTTTAGCAATATTCCAGCAATATCACGACGGGGGACACCAGAAATGGGCTTCACACATTGTACCCATGTCGGGAATCGAATCCGGGTCTTCGGCCTGACGAGCGAATGCTTTAACCACTAGGCTACCCGACTGCCCCCAAAAACATTTGAGTTTGTGATGACTTGAATCAAATTGGCTAAAATTGACCATTTTTTGTAGGATACCAAGAGCAGGCATAAAATATCTGAATCAATTATCAAATCTTTTTACGGAAATGAAATTTCAAAACATGAGAAAATTCAAAATGTCTTCAAACAGTGATTCAAAATAAAATTCTTTCGAATTGCCTTTATTCAAAGCGGTTAAATAGATTTTGTACACAAACATAATTTCTATGTGTCCAGGGAAACGAATCGGTCTCTTTTATGTTTAAATACAAATGCATGAACCAATCAAAATGCGCATATCAATATATTGAGCCCAAACATAATATCGTCATTAAGGAAAAATTTACTTTAGGAAAGTTGAAGTCATCCCTGCTGCCATACAGTGTTTTGTCACTCTTTATGCAGATATCTAAATATGAAACAGAGGAGGCGGTCTCACTGGGCTGCTTTATTCCTATTTCAGGTGGGTGAACCAGTGGAAGGGAATTGGCTTTTTGATGGATATTGAACAAATCATGCCCACTACACGGAACTAAGTCTGTGCAAGTTCGGAAAAGACGATAGTCCCAATACAGCAGTTGCAAAATCAAAAATGTTCCGAGACAAACAGTTCATCTGGTAAAATATAAAGTGAATAGCTAAAAATGTTCAATACGAGAGCACAACAGACCGCTGTATATCGTCAATACTCTTTTCCTTTATCTATTTTTAAACTAACAGGAGAGGAAATTAAGTATGAAGAATTTATGGGGCTGCTCCCATACGCCCTTATAATCAATTCCACCATGCATTTCGAGAATTCGATTCCAACTGGTCAATAAAAGGTGACAAACATATCTAAACCTATCCCATATTCAAGAATCCCATAAGGAATTTGTACAAATCCAAACCAGTAATCATAGATAGCACCTCACTCGTTCTGATAAGGTATCGTTTTCACAGAAACGAGTTGACTTTCTACGCTTTCGCTCCGCCAGATACTATGTAATGTAACAAAATGCTATCTAACGAGAATGAGTGTGCCTGTGATGTTATATTTATAACCAACGTAAAATGTGCATTTATGTGTAAATACATAACAACATTTGAACGTTATTTAACAACAACTGAAACTGTTGCAAATTCGTCAGCGAATTTTGATATATTCCCAAACATGGGCATTGTTGACATTTCTATACATACGCATTTATAGTGTTCCTGGTGTTGTGTGAAACATCATCTTTCTTTAATAAAGTAAGAATCTCTCCAAGTTATGATAATTCAAGTGCATAACTATTTGTACACAGAACAACAGCGATCATCGCGGTGCTTGCAGTCTGATAGATACGTCGATTCCACGAGTTCAGTCACACGCTGCCCATGCGTATAAAAATAATTAACTTCTGGAAAGTAGTCGGAATCAAACTTTGAGCTGAATGGTAATCATTATGTGGAGACAAAACCATCAGAAATTATTTAGGTGTTCCAGATAAAAATTTCCCGAAACTAACTTGTTCCTTGTGTTTACCAAGTGATGTCCTCCCTTGTTTCTGCGTGTGGTCTTTGAAGTGTATATTTCTGTTAGTGACACAGAATGTTTTGCTGGGAACAGTTTGTTTATTGGGTATATATGGAGCAGCCCGAACCTTGGAAACACATACTGGTTGATATGTTGCTCTGTGGTTTGTCATGAGTGAGTGAGTGAGTTGGGTTTAACACCACTTTTAACAGTATTTCAGTCATATCGCGGCGTGT